TAGTCGATGCCTAACTCACTGTTGCTCTCGGAAGACAACTAGATCCTTCCATAGCAATTCAGAAAAGGTTTTAAAATTAACCTGAAGAATTATGATACCGTTGCTCAGATCACTGTAGAGCCAGTTCACGTACGGATTCACTCCCATACTGTTCATCCAATTCCTATACGTCTTCTCTTCACGCGTTTCCTCTACCACTTCTATGTTTTCTAAAAAAGAAACTACGAAATTTAAAACGAAACAAAACAGAGAAGCACTTGTAGTACATTATACGAGTTACTTTTGCTTCATAATAAACGCTGAGACGCACAGGAGGTTGCTGCGCTCATGTGATTTGTTGCGAAGCCCGCAATCGCAAACAAAAATGCTCTTTATAAGAACTACAGATTTAGTGGGAAACTCAATATTAAAACGCCTTCAGTTTAGAGCGCGAGTCTCAGCGTCAAGAGGTTGTCAGAAGGATCACAACTTTTGAATCATTGTGTAGTGCCCTATACACAGACAGAGGCAGGCCTAAAGTACCCTATACATAGGCGGATCCAGGGCAGATTCCTGGGGGGAGACGGGGAGAGGAACGGCAGGGGTGGGGGAGCCCTATCCCACCCTGAAACGATGAAAAACTAGGAAGAGAGTTGTAACACTACTGCTTAGACTTACTTTAGTTTTACTTATGGACAGACCCGGGCTTTTGCAGCACTGGTGCTTGTGTCGATGGAGTGGAGGGGGCGGGGGCGAAAGACCCATCGCCCCCCTCTCCTGGACTCGCCTATAGACCCATAAATTTCGTGCACTGTAGCTAAAAGAACGAATGGCAGATCCCAGCAAGGAATGAAGACCGTCAATTCCCTCCTCTCTACCCTGGCTGCCCCAAGTACTGACGTGAAAAATGTGAATTCCCCGCCCTAAGATTCAAGCCCCTCGTGTGATATAAAAATGATATTACTGGCAATAATCAGATACCGCTGAGTGGTGTTGTTAACGGCTGGCCTATGCGCCGACACCGCTCTTCCCAGTTCTGACTTTTTTCTTAGAATTTGTTTTGCTGTGAAGCTCCTCACTCATACATATGTCCGCAGCGGGCGGAAGTTATAAGAGTGCTCGCCATTCTGTTTTCATTTTCCTATGTGTTAACTCCGTACTCTTTGTAAATGAAGAATACGCTGCTCGGAGCAGTTGCAGCTGCGATAACACATGGAGCAGAATGCCGGACTTTTCTCAGTATCAAGCTAACGGTAAGAACTGTTGCTTCGAAAATCTAGCTAAAACTAAACCCAGGTTGCAACGCACCAGACTTGCTGGTGCGACCATGCGTTTTTGCGTTAAACCTGCAGCCTGCTAACGGAAGGAATGGTTCCTGCGCTGTAGTTTAACACTTGAACTTATATTGGCTGTGTTTTGGCCTTTTCCACTATCAGGGGAAAAGGGCGTCGGCCGGGATGAAGGGGTTGCATTACGGGACCGCATGGACCCTATGCGCATGACTGTCAGTTTTCTGCATAAAGCCTGGTCTTTTTTCCGGTAAATGCTCGTTCACTGGAAAAGATGCAAATTTGAAGAAGTCGGAAGAGGCTTATGAAATTTGCAAAATGCACTCGCTTTTGAGTTTTTGATAAAATTAATGGCTTCCTCACTTTGGTTTTATACGAATTCTGCTCCCCCAGTAAAATTGCCGAGCAGCCAGGTGAATGATACCAAGAATGCTACTCCAGTATGCCATCCCTTATGTTACTGTTTGTCGTTTACCATACCTGCTTGCGGTCCGATAAAATCACCCTGCAAGGACGAAAAGCATACACAGTAATTCATGTGACATACCTATCTCGTCGGCGCCCGGTTCTGGAAGTCCTGGATACTTGTTGAAAAGATTGGCAACGAATGCAAGATTCAACTTATAGTTTCCTTGAGCAACATCGTTTGGAGCAACAAATTCACGGCAATCAAGCTTATCCGCCTCATCCAACATCGCTGCCGCTCTTTTTACATTACCCTATAAAAAGTTCTGCCTATCTTACTGATGACAGCTTAAAAATAAAAGCTTCACAGTGTCACGAATGATGTAAAAAATTTTATGTCAGACTGTCTGTGGACTTCGAGCTGTCTTATTTGGCAAGACGCTAGTCCGTACTGCCTCATAAAAGTATGGAATGCAGTGCTAAAGCAGTAAAAGACGTCTTCGTGAGGGGTAAATCTTTGTTAATCGAATTCCATCTGCTTAAAGAGTTTTTTTCATGGAGCGAGGTGTGACATTTCGAATGGCACGAAGTTGTTTGTTTGTATCAGTTAATTTTCTTGCACTTTTACCGCACTACTGATGCAATTAAACGGAACTATAATAAGCATACATATGTGCGTGTCTGTGTAAGAGCGTACGTAGACATATACGAAGATGCAACAGTCAAGAAGACGTAAAAAAAGAGATAGGGCGCTTGGTCAGCTTACATGGAGAAGATACATATACCAGCAAATGCTTTTCTCAGTCTGCTCTGCAAAATACAGCGTCGGTGCATTGAAAAAGTGCTGCTCAATTAAAATAAAAATGGACCTACTTGAACAGAAAGTGGATGTAACGTAACCCCGGCTCCTTTCGGGGCAATTTCATTTAGCAAATACGTATAAATCTCGGAATCAGACACATCGACTGTGAAGTTCGTCAACACCCGGTTCACGCCTGCCTGAAAAGCAATGGTAAAATGTGCCACTCCCCAGCAATAAACAAGAAGCACAGTGAACATAGGAACATTACAGTTCTCTTTCAAAAAGCAAAATAAAGCATAGAACACATGTCTTGAATAGCAGAAGCAGTAGCAAGAGAAGTAGGAAAGCGAGGAGAGGAGGAGAGAAAAGGAGGAGGAGGGACAGGAGAGAGATAACGACTGGCAGGAAGAGGAACAGGTGAGGTAATGGCGGCAGCAGAAGGTTGACGGCTTTCAGCAACTATAAAGGGCATACGGTATCTGTAGATAGAAGCTGTTCAAAGGTGATAAATCAGCCTTTTTAATCAAACTGTAAAATCAGGGAACTGAAAGTCGGCTGTGAAAGGTTAGCAGGGCACCTGCAGAAACGCCAGCAAACGTGACGAGAAACTTAAACACATCCAAAAACAATTGAACGACAAAAGAAATTCGCACAGCAGTACCTTCGACAAATGATAATTGACCCAACGAATCAGAATTTGCTCTGGTGAAAGTTTACGAAAATCTTCTAATGTCTCATCATTCTGCAGCAGTCGGAACAATCCAGGCACGTGTATTAAATCAATCTGACTGAACAAACCAA